GCCACCGCACCTGGCCCTGTTTTTTTGTGTTTTTGTTTTTGTTTTTGAGTTGGAGTCTCACGCTGTTGCCCAGGCTGGAGTGCAGTGGCATGCGCACAGCTACTGCAGCTTCAACCTGCTGGGCTCAGGTAATCCTTCCACCCAGTCTTCCAAGTAACTGGAACTACAGGCATGAGCCACCATGCCTGGATAATTTTATGATTTATTGTAGAGACAAGGTCTCACTAAGTTGCCCGGGCTGGTCTCAAATCCCTGGACTTCAGACAATCCTCTCCCCTCGGCCTCCCAAAGTGCTGGGATTACAGGCATAAACCACCACGCCTGGCTGGATTGTTGTTTTTAAAGGAATTCTAGGAAAGAGAACTTGAGAAAAGGCATGAAAGCAAAACAGCACAGGGTATGTGGAGAAAAGGGAAGAGGGGCATGAGCAGATATTAAGGAGAATGAACAGCAGAGTATGGGAGATTAGATGATTAGATGTGTAATGCAGATCAAGTAAGGCCTTGAATACCAGGTTGGGATATTGGTGGGCAGGAGTCTGTGTGAAATAAGAAACTGTAAGAGGTTTTTAGAAGTAAACAATAACAACCAAATGTATCTCTTACAAAGATAATTGGAGGTTATGTGCAGGCGGTAGCGAGCCAGGGTGGAGTCAGAACAAATCTGGAAATTCACTGGCAATGTGACAATCTCTTTGGGCCTAAATTTTGCATTTATTACGTTGTTAAATGGAGATGATAACTACTGTAGTGGGATTGAATGAAATCAGACATGGGTATTTTAAATAATGTCACAGACCTCAATTATTAGCTCAAACAAATAACACACACACACACACACACTTTTACAATGAAGTCACATGGAGGGGAATGAGGGCTAAGAAAGCTTCGATACTGGTCAACAGGAAGAAAGGAAGGAGCTGTCTGACAGATGGAAAAAGGGTGGGAAGGGAAAGAGGAAATCCTTAGAGATGATTCAGGAGAGAATGGGGATGGGATTCAAAGTGAGACAGTGGAAGACCAGTTGATTTAGGGGCATGGGATATTGATGAGGTCAGCTTTGGAAATGTTAAATTCAAGAAAGAGATGGATATTGGCAAGGAATGGAGCAGTGCAGACTTAAGAATTAGGTGTTGGTCTGGGTGCGGTGGCCCATGCCTGTAATCCCAGCACTTTTGGAGGCAGAGGCAGGAGGATTGCTTGAGCCCAGGAGTTTGAGACCAGCCTGGGCAACATAGTGAAACCTCATCTCTACAAGAAAAACAAACAAACAAACCAAAAAATAGATGTTCAATTACGATTTTAACTGAAAAAGCCACTTGGTCTAGAAGTCTAGAAAGGTGTTTGGGGACCTTTATTTTGTTTAAATCTCAGAGAGAAAAATCAGCCAGAAGCTGCAGTCACCTACATGTAAATCAACAGAAAAGTGTCATCCAAAGTAGTCCTCGAGAGAAAGTCCAGTTCTCTGGAAGGAAGGCCCCTTCTATTTATCTTTGTACTATCAGTGCCTAGACTGGTACTGACATATTTTAGGCATTCAGTAGATGCTTATTGGATAGGTTCTGAATTTTCTATAATTTAAATTTAGTGGTATTAAGAATGCATAAATTTCATTTCAGCACTTTGACTCCTTTAAGGAATTTCCCTTTGCTGCTTATTACCTGAGAAACTTCACTTAAGAAAGTATTCACAGATAACAACAGTTCACAGTACACAAACTTCTTCACCACAGCATTTTTTATATTAGCAAAAAATGGAAAACAAGTTATATTTGTGATAACAGAGGAGTGGTCAATCATGAAGTAAAGTAGAATGCAGAAACTGTTCCAAGCACTTTACAAATGCAGTATTTTTTTTTTCTTTTTGAGTTGGGGTCTCACTCTGTTGCCTAGGCTGGAGTGCCATGGCATGCTCACGGCCACCGTAGCCTTGACCTGCTGGGCTCAGGTAATCCTTTCGCCTCAGCCTTCCAAAGAGCTGGAACCACAGGCGTGCATCACCACATCTGGCTAATTTTTTAATTTACTGTAGAGATCTGGTCTTGCCATGCTGCCCTGGCTGGTCTCGAACCCCTGGACTCAGGTAATCCTCCCGCCTCCACTTCCCAAAGTGCTGGGATTACAGGCGTGAGCCACTGCACCTGGCCACAAATGCAGTATTAATTCACAGCGACAATAAGGAGGCAGTATTATTTTTTATTTTTATTTTTTTTTTTAGTTGGAGTCTCACTGTGTCGCCCAGACTGGAGTGCAGTGGCCGCTCCCGGCCCCCGCAGCCTCGACCTGGTGGGCTCCGGATAGCCTTCTGTCTCAGCCTTCCAAATAGCTGGAACTACAGGCGCATGCTACCACGCCCGGCTAATTTTTGATTTTTGTAGAGATGAGGTCTCGCCAAGTTGCCCAGGCGGGCCTCGAACCCACGGGCTTAGGCAATCCACTCACCTCAGCCTCCCAAAGCACGAGATTACAGGCTGAGCCACCAAGCCTGGCTGGAGGCAGTATTATTATTTAAGTCCCATTTTACAGATGAGGAAACTGAGGCTTGGAGAGTTTAAGTAATTTGTTCACGATTACATACGTGGTCGACCTGGCACGTGTGACAGGCTGTCTGGTTCTAGAGGCTTTGCTTTAATCACTACAACATTGTCTCATAGTATTTTATTTTGCCTGATTTACTTTTCTTTCCCTTTTTTTTTTTTTTTTTTTTGGAGTCAGAGTTTCACTCGGTTGCCCAGGCTGGAGAGCAGTGGTAGGCTCATGGCCACCGCAGCCTCGACCTGCTGGGCTCAGGCAATCCTTCTGCTTCAGCCTCCCAAGTAGCTGGAACCACTGGCATGCGCCACCACGCCTGGCTAACTTTTTGCTTTATTGTAAAGACAAAATCTTGCCAAGTTGGTCAGGCTGGTCTCGAACTCCTGGACTCAGGCAATCTTCTCGCCTCTGCCTCACAAAGTGCTAGAATTACAGGTGTGAGCCACCACACTCAGCTGCCTGATTTTCTTAAATGAGTTTTAGAACAAACTTTTGTAGGAAAAATGTAACCTCTCCATTGAGGAGAGGAGAAGATCAGATAGAGAGTAGGTAGTAGCAGTGAACCAAAATTCTGCTCCAAGATAAGCCCGAGGACCACAGTTCACATTTCTTCGTTTCTTTCACCATTGTTAGCAATACTTAATGCTCTTGAAGCAATTTATAATTTACAAAGTCCTCCCACATAGTAATCTCATCAAAACCACCCTGAAAAGTTGTTATCTGGATTCATTCCAATTGACTGATGATGGAACTAGGCTCAGAAAGGATAAGTGGCCATACAGGGTGATGCTGCTGGTTTGTGGAGTCCCCAGTCCCATGATCTCCCTAGTACTCAGCATAGGTTGGACAATTTCTTTTTTTTTTTTTTGAATTGGAGTCTTACTCTGTCACTCAGGCTGGAGTGCAGTGGCATGCTCCCGGCCCCCGCAGCCTCGACCTGCTGGGCTCCGGCGATCCTTCCGCCTCAGCCTTCCAAGTAGCTGGAACTACAGGCACGCGCTACCACACCCGGTTAATTTTTTGATTTTATTGTAGAGATGAGGTCTCTCCAAGTTGCCCAGGTGGGTCTCGAACCCGCGGGCTCAGGCAATCCACTCACCTCAGCCTCCCAAAGCGCGGGATTACAGGCTGAGCCACCAAGCCCGGCTGACATACTTTTTAACTAGAAAATTAAAAAAAAAAAAAAAAAAATGGCTGGGTACAGTGGCTCACGCCTGTAATCCCAGTACTTTGGAAGGCTGAGGCAGGAAGACTGCTTAAGCCCAGGAGTTTGAGACCAGCCTTAACAACATAGCAAGACCTCACCTCAACAAAATAAAAACTGGTAGGGTAAGGTGACATGCCTGTAGTCCCAGCTACCCAGGAAGCTGAGGAGGGAGGATTGCCTAAGCCCAGGAGGTTGAGGCTGCTGTGAGCCATGATGGTACCAGTGCACTCCAGCCTGGGCAACACAGTAAGACTCCAGACTCAAAAAAAAAAAAAAAAAAATCTATGAATCAATCAATCATCTGACACCAAACAGAACTGATGGGAGACTGTGGTGAGGAATCATGGTGTGTTAAGTGGCAGCCTCGAGCATTCTAGCACGCTGAATGGCATGTTAAGAGAGTGGCGGGAGTTTCTGAAGTGAAGTATGATTCTATGATGGGAGGTTTACAGACTTAGAAGGCATTATTTTGTTATCAGTCCCACAAGAAGCAATTATTCAAAGACTTGGCTGGGAATGAGTACTAGGTGATCTGTAAATAATCTACAAGTGCTGTTTACCAGGAGTGGAACATTAACATGGTATACAGCGGGCTCTCAAAGGGAGTCACTGCCCTATGAGGGCGGCCTTGCCTCCACCTCTAACCGTTTTTCTTTCTGCAGCTCCAACTATTGCACTAAAAGGACAGAAAGCAGCAGGTAGAGGGTGAACTCAAATATAAACACTCTCTGAGGACATGGTCAGTGAGGCAGTTAGAACCAGTAAGTAGCTCAGCAGAGACAATGCAACTGTTAGGTCAAGTGTATGAAGGGTGAGGCCCCTTCAGGGCAGCTGCAAAAGAAAGCCCCTTTTAATCCCTTAACTAAGCAGCTGATGGATTTGATCTTTTTGTGCATACATTATAACTCTTCAAACATAAGATTATTGTGAGGTTTTTTTTTTTTTTAATCAGCATAAACAACCAAAGCTTTCTATAAATTTTTTCATCTCACTAATTAACAGATGACAGAAAGTAGAACTTTGGAGAGCTTCTGATTAAAATTCATTGTCATTCTGGCTTGAAAAACTGTAAGAAAGCTTCATGCCCAGATTCATTCACAAAAAGAATTAGGTCTCTATGTGAAGGGGGATGAGATCTCAGTCTCCTGCCCAGAGATCTACTTTCCTTTGATTTTTGCATCCATTGTTATTTAAAGTAATAGCATAAAATGATTCGGCTAGGGTTATTTTGCATAGTAATATAGAGAAGGAATCATTCATTACCTGCTATAATCTCCCTTGGCTTCCTGAAAAAAAAAAAAAAAGATAGATGATCAATAAGTACTTATGTTAAGCTAAACAAATTCTACCTTGCTCACTTTCCTTTCTTAAAGTCCCAGAGTTTTGTTTTGAAAAGTGTTTATCAGAAACACCTCCCCCTCTCCCCCGCCATGGAGAAGTATTTGGCATTGATAAGAAAACGCTAGTTAGGGATACTTTTATTATTTGTAACAAAAGGGACAAATAAATATATATATGAAAAAGCACAGATAATTATCTCTCCCTTTATGTTTCTAAGATCATGTGATAAATGCTTTTCTATTTGAGTGGCACACTTTTTAGAGTGAATGAAGACCTTTTAAACCATGATACAAGTCAGTCAAAACATACTGTTTTCTCTTCACTTTTTAAACCAGCGGAGAAACAGACTTTGTTTTTCAGTTGCTAATGCCTTTAAGAGTTAAAATGCTGTCTTACTCCACCTCAAGAAAATGTATACAAAAGTTATTAAATTTAAATGAAAATTACAGCTGTTGTAACAACTGCTGCTTCCCAAATTCAAGTAAACCAGAGCTCTTTTCCAGGGATATAGTTTTTAACTCTTTTTCCCTCAGAGCAGTCTACATTTAATTTTTGTTTGAGACACACAATATCACACTATATCTCATGCACACTATTCTAAAACAGAAGATAGTAACATTTTTTATTAGCAAACAACTATCTAGCTTAAAAATCCAGCAGACACTGGCCCATGCAAAAGTTTCAGAGTTGCAGGCAGTTAAAAACTAACAAACAAAAGGAAGCTGGTGAGAGGCAGTTTGGGAATTCTCACCTGTAAAATAAGCGCTGCTAACTTGAAGATGGTTTCGCTGTCGACTTCGATTTGTCCCTGTTGGTGGAAAAGGAAAGCATCATTGAACACAGGGCTGCCCTAGGTTGCAGCAAATGGCTGTGGAGTTGGGAAAGCTGTCACTGCTTGGCACCTCCAGTTTACGATCAAATGCAGATCATACCATTGCCGGGAAAAGGGGGGATTGTGGAGAGATGCACTGAGGGTTAAGCAAAAACCACATTGTGTGTGTGTGTGTTTTAATTAACTGTGGGGGATTTTGTTTGGAGAGCGGTATTCAGGAAAGAAATAGGCTGAAAATTCAGACAATTTCTAAATGAAAAATTTTATCTCTGCATGTTTATTTTTGAGCACTCTGCAGATTTTCCTAAATTCGTTTGTTGAGCGTTTTCCTGAGAAAATCTTTTTCTCTGTGTTATAGCATGGTTATTTCAGTACACACACCACAATGCAAATAATATTAAAAATATAAATTTACTTCTGCATCAATGGCACATTATTGAGTTAATATTTGTACTACTGTAGATAAAATGTGAAGCTTTAAAAATCAGTCACAGCAAATGCTTTGAAGACTAAAATTCTGTTACCTTATACTGAAGTTTGATGAACTCTAGTTTATCAATTTTCCATCTTTTTTATTCATCCTTCAAGAAAAATTGGAGTTCTGGGCCTTGGTTAAAAAGAATGTTTTCTCAGTAGCCTAGTAGGGAAGGTATTGTCTCTGTCAATAGAACTCACTCTTTAAGTGTGATGATATATGTAAATACCATTACTGTATTGTATATTATTACCACAATGAATGGTATAGAGGGGACTTTATTAAAAAACTTTTTTTTTGTTGTTGGTATGTTAGCTTGTAAGTATTAACACAGGCAAAAACAATTCCACATAACCCCTCCTTGCCTAAGTTCTGTGTAATTAGTACTTGAAAGTGCACAGTGTTTAAGGACCTAGAGCTCACAGGCCTGGAAATTCCTTCTTTCTGCCTCTACCTCCTGAATCCCAGCTGCAGTGTTTCCTAGTTATACCAAGTGCATCAGTGGTGAGGGTTAAGCAGGTTTAAAGTAAATATATAGTAGATAGGTTTATGGAGGTTGTTTTGTTCAGTGAGGATTTCTGAAAGGATTATGTTTTTCTCTCAGGTCTCACCATGATTTGTTTAGGGTTCTCAAAACATAAATTACCAATAACAATTCTTTTAAAAGCCATACAATAAAATAAGCAAATTAAAAAAACTCAGGATGCTACTAAAGCTAGTAGTGATAATTATTCATGTTTCCTTTATATTACAAAATGAAAACAAATTAATTTCATCCTCCCGAATACAGGCCTCCTTTCTGAAACCTCAGGCAGAGGATCTGCTTCAAAGTTTTTTTGCTTCAAAAGCTGACAGGCCCAGAGCCTTGGAATTCAAGGCTCGCCTATAATCTCTAGAAACAGATTAGAAAATCAAAGAGAAGCCAGGTTGACTGTAGGAATCAATTGCCCTCTGTCTTTCAGGCAAGAGACAGTGGTTTTCTAATCTGGTGAAAGATGATGAAGCGGTTAACCCAACAGGTGAGGTGGGTGTGTTGATCAAGATTAAATTTTAGAAAGGTTAAATTCCTTAAATTCAAAGAAAGAAAGAAAGGGGGAAAAAAACTTATGATGAGGGAGGAGGGCTAAGAGGGAAACTCGAAAACATCTTTGAGTTTGAAACCAGGCCAGACCTCAAAGATAAAGTCAAATTTGTCCTAAAGTCTTAGAAAGAAAAAAAGATTATTTAGGATATCAAAAACACTAAAGAGGAATAAAGTAAATTGAACATTACGGCCAGCTCCTCTAACACCCCATGACCCCTCTCTGCCCATCAGAACCTTAGATGAGTCACCTGAAAAATATTTTAGATACGAACTTTTCAATTTAGTAAATGGAAGTTCAGTAGACAGATACAAAGACCTAAAGCAGATACTCTTAAGAAAGCTGCCAAATAATTCTCTACCTTAGAAGGGTCATTAAATATTAAACATGCTGGAGCGAGGAACTAAAGCATGAAAAGTACCAGGCTCAGACCAGCTCCAGAAAAGTGGGGAGCAAATACCCAACTCACCTGTGAACTCTTCCCACCCACACAGTGGGCCCAACAGAGCTCCTGTGGAGGAGGGTGATGGTGAGGTGAAGGGAGGAGGTGGTTTATCAAAACTTTGTGCCAGGGAGAGAAGAAAACTCATGATTTGGCAAAGGCCCACATTCTTTTATACCTTTCAGCCCCTACCTCACCTTCCATTTAATAACCACTGTTCTAGAAAGCCAAGGCAACAAATTTTGAGTTATCATACTGATGGCAACATTGCAACTTGTGCGTGGAGTTTACTAAGAAATCTATCCATCAAGAATAATGATATTTGGAGCTAGGCGCAGTGGCTCACGTCTGTAATCCCAGCACTTTGGGAGGCGGAGGCAAGAGGATTACTTGTGCTCAGGGGTTCCACACTAGCCTTGGAAGGCTGAGGTGGAAGGATCGCCTGAAGCCAGCAGTTCGAGGCTGCGATAGCCGATAGCCGTGAGCATGCCACTGCACTCCAGCCTGTGTGATAGTGAGACAATGACTAAAAAAAAAAAAGAAAAGAAAAAGAAGAAGAATGATATTTGGGATGAAAAATCACCTATCGGGTACCATGTGCACAGGTGGCAGTGCCCGATACCTTAAAGCCCAGACTTCACCACTATGCAATGCAACCATGTAACCAGAAACGATTTGTACCTCTAAAGCTATTGAAATAAAGAGGGGGAATAAAAGGATAATGCTTTTTGCCCAGTTCTCATCAATTTCATTTGGTGAAATTTAACTAAGACTTATTAAGAACTCCAGAATTGCATGCCTGAAGTGTAAAAAACTCTTTTGAAACTACAGTCTTCCCAGCACAGAACATTTCTTTTACTTTCAACCATGGCAACAGAGGTAACCTTATAGTGACTGGGCAAGCCAACACTTGAGAGAGGGATCTCCTTAAAGAGAAAGGTAACGGGATCCTTCAGTGGGTTTCCATGACAGTCATGGATAAACAAAGAGAACCAGAGAAGTGAGTCAGGTGAAGTGGCTGAATGCACAGAGGTAATATGAAACTGTATCAAGTCCTGATGCTACACCCTCATGGCTAATTTAGCTGAATTATGAATTCAATCACTAGGTCACTGGGTTCAGGCACCATATTGGACATCTTGTTTTTGTTCTTGGTTTGTTCGCTCAATTGACCAAAGACACCATGCTAATGAGGTGAATTCTAGGGTTTTATTCCCACGAAGGAGAACAGAACGAAAGAAAGTTTTGGAACTTGAAATGGAACTTAGTAAAAATGTGACTCTCATTGTTTTACAGCTGATGGCAGGCAGTGAGGGTCAGGGAGATGAAGTGTAATATACAGGCCCCTAGCACACAGTGAAGCTGGACTCCCTGTGCAGGATTCTTTCCACTTTACCATGCACTTGCTAACTTTGTGTGACTCCAGTGCAAATATCTCACCAGGAATCTTCCAAAGGCATTATTTTTTGAGTCGGATTTCACTCTATCACCTAGGCTGGAGTGCAGTGGCATGCTTACGGCCACCACAGCCCCAAGCTGCTGGGCTCAGGTGATCTTTCTGCCTCAGCCTTCCAAGTAGCTGGAACTACAGGTATGTGCCACCATGCCTGGCTAATTTTTTTGATTTATTGAAGAGAGGTCTCACCAAAATGCCTAGGTTGGTCTTGAATCCCTGGGCTCAGACAATCCTCTCGCAATCACCTTTCAGATTGCTGGGATTATAAATTCAAGCCACGGTGCCTACCCTAAAGGCATGTTTTTGATAAAAACTAGAATCAGGCAAAACTGGAAAAATGACTCAAAATGTCACCTCCACCGTTGGTGGGATTGTATGTTATCAACAAACATACACTCTGAAAGTAGAATAAAAAAATTATTTCTGGGGCTGGCTGTGGTGGCTCACGCCTATAATTCCAGCACTTTGGGAGGCCAAGGATTACCTGAGCTCATGGGCTCAAGACCAGTCTGGGCAACTTGATGAGACCTCATCTCTACAATAAATCAAAAAATTAGCCAGGCGTGGTAGTGCCAGCTACTTGGAAGACTGAGGCAGAAGGATCACCTGAGCCCAGCAGGTCGAGGCTGCAGTGGCCATGAGCCTACCACTGCACTCCAACCTGGAATGACAGAGTGAGGCTCCGGCTAAAAAAAAAAAATTATTTCTGGAAGACTCATTCTGCTCTTCCTATATCAATAAAGTACTCCATGGAAACGTATTCTGCATTATAGCAATGATATTAGCAACATAGTCACAAATACTTAGGATTTAGAACTACTTGACAAACTGTTGGAACACTTCAATTGTTTCCAAATCTATAATTTTTTTTGTTTCCTTGTTTGTTTTTTGAGTTGGAGTCTCACTCTGTCGCCCAGACAGGAGTGCAGTGGCCGCTCCCAGCCACCGCAGCCTCAACCTGCTGGGCTCCGGCGATCCTTCCGCCTCAGCCTTCCAGGTAGCTGGAACTACAGCGCGCGCTACCACGCCTGGTTAATTTTTTGATTTATTGTAGTGATGAGGTATCATCAAGTTCCCCAGGCGGGTCTCAAACCTGTGGGTTCAGGCAATCCACTCATCTCAGCCTCCCAAGGTGTGGGATTACAGGCTGAGCCACCGAGCCCGGCTCCAAATCTATTATTAATGATCTATTTTAAGATTAACTATATAAAAATCAACTTATAGAACATCAAGCAATAAATGTAGAAGAAATAAAATAGAGAATTACCAATTGCAACTATCATTATACTAACTGACTCAGGCAATAATCTTCAATAAATAAAACTATTGGGTGAAAGTTTGATGAGAAACAGGACAGGATATTTACAAAATCATACAGTATCTCTCCATAGATTACCTATTAATTACAAAGGAGAAAATGGTAACTCTTCAATGGAGAAGCTGACAGACACTATCTTAACCAAGTGATGAGATATGGCCAATAATTGGACAGAACAGCAGCACGTGTCTTCTGATGGTATG